GTCCTAATTTGCAAAAGCCCTCAGCCCGCCTCTCCCCTGCTCCATAACACAAAGGATTGATCAGGCTTTGCAAAGCTGTGGTTGAGATCCCCCAGAAACGGCCCATGTTTCTTAGAAGCAATGAGCTTTCTGGCAGCGAGGGAGTGGGAGCTGGGGAGAAGCTATTGGTCTTTAGGAAGAAATAAGAAGAAAGGTCTGGAGAGATTTTTGTACATTAATATTTCACAAACTGATATACCCATCCTAGCTGGAGGGGAGGACATGACTTCTGGTATTGTGGCCTCACTGCCCCCAAATTGAACAGGGAGGGAAAGGAAGAGGGAGAAAGTGAATTGATCTTGTTGTGATCATCAGAAGACATTTGCTGATCACCTACAAACTTGCCATTATGTTAGACAAAGCAGAGGGTAAAAGAAGCACTGCTTTAATTAGAGCACATCTTTTGGATTAAAAGATAAGACTCAAAAACCTTTGACTCAAAAAGCATATAGTCTACTTGGAGCAATAGGACATCTACACACAAAATAATAAAAGTATTCCCATTTCATTTAATCTAAGACATCTCTTAATTGTAAGATGTAAGTTATTTTACTAACTCTTAAGAAAGAAACTAGCATCCGCTGTAATACGCAGCAGCCCAATTCCAAAGATGCTAAAATGGAGGGGAATAATCAATTTTTTTAATCAGTGAAATATGTATATAGAAGAGTACCTATTACAAATGAATCAAACAAAGCATTCAGGAACTCTAGGGAAATACCTGTAACTGAGGTTAAGGCAAACAGAGAGAAAACAGGAACTGAGGCCCAGCCAAAGCCCCTTAAACCTGAGATCACTGATGTGAAAATACCTATTCATTCTCTAAAAGCAGAAGGCAGGCATCCCCACAGGTGGAGGCACTAAGACTGAGGCCCAACAGACATGATGGGACAGGAAGTCTTATGGCACAATGAGGGAATCAGGGTGGGTGGGTACAGGAAGGTCAGGATAAGCTGGCTGGGTACAGGGTTCAGCCAGCTAGACTGTTGGTGAGACCGTGTGGCCTGTGGGATGATATCCATCTCACCCATGGACTGGCTCTAAAGAGAACAAGTCCCAACATACTCATTCACTCAGTAGTGCTGACTAAGCATCTTCTAAATTCAAGTTATTTTGGAAGAAACAAATGAGTTCCATAAATCTTGCTTACTAAGATTAGTCATTTATTGAAATAACTACAAGATAGATATCATGCTTACCTCCATTTTAAAGATGATGGCAAAAGGGTACAGAGAGGTCAAGTCATTTACCCAGCATCACACAGATGGTAAGCAACAGAGTTGGTATTCAAACCCAAGCATATTGATTATAGAACTCACATTTACTGCTGGGCACATTGCATCTCAGAAGACAGTGTTAATCTGAAAAACTTTAGTGGCAGTTCAAAAAATGGAAGAGTCCCATTGGCTATATGCATCAAGGAAGAATGACAAAAATTTGGTTTATGAGAAAAGGGACTAACTGTACAGGGGATAGGGCACAGCACAGTGAATGGCAAAGATTGCTTGGGTCAAAGAAATAATAAGAATAAAAAGGTTAGTTTATATTGAAAAGAGATCTTGAATGCCAGGGGCTTGGGACAACTATAGATAGGAGAGTCCTTGGTGGCGTTCAGTCAGGGGTCAGATCTGAGCACTAGGAAAGATTAATTTGCACTCTATTCATAGGATGAATTATAGCAGAAAGAAACTGGAATCAGGAAAAGGGTTATAAAATTATTGCAATACTCTATTAAAAGGATTTTTTTTTTTACCCAGGGTAAGTTAAACCATGTGTTTTCTTTTTTAATTAACCTCAAAAATACCTATTCATTCTCTAAAATACCTTAGGATCTTTGATCTATGAACTTATTTAAGTTTTATGAGCTTTATTTCCAGGTTGGGTTATAGTGGCATTATTTGTCCTGAAACGATTCCCTTTGGTTTTCTATGAGCAGCACAGGTTAGGGGAGAGCAGGGAATAGGGTGGGAAGTGCAGGAATAGAGGGCCAGGAGCTAGTGGTTTCCTCTCCCAGCCTTTGGTGTTAGCTTTCAGTCACTGTAGCAATCACCCAATCAGCTTATAAAGAGAAAAGGTTTATTTGGGCTCACAGGTTTGGAGGTTCCAGGCCATGACTGGTTGGCCCCAGTGTTTTGGACCTGTGGTCAGGCAGCACATTGTGTCAAAAGCACATTCATAGTAGTTGAGCAAAACTATTCACCTCCTGGCCAGGAAGCAAAAGGAGGATGAGGGGGCAAAGGTCCCATAGTCCTCTTCAGGGGCAGCACACCCCCAGTGACCTAAAGTCTCCCAGGGCTCCCAGCACATGGACCTTTGTGGGTTGTTTAAGGTCCAAACTACAGCATTTGGTACAACAAATATGTATTATCTCTAAATTTATTCTCTGTCCTCCACAAATTTAGACCTTTTGCCTCTTTAACCTTTCCTTTCTCATCTTGTTAATCCTGAATTTTAAATCTTCCTACTATAACCACCCCAATCAAGTTGTAGAGCTAGAGAAAATTTATATGAGCACCTAGCCCAGAACTCTTGTTCCACTGGGAAAAGTTGAAGCTCTGACCACATCGTCAGCAGGTGGTGGGACACACCACTGATGCTCTAAGCTCCCCTGACATGGACCACTTCCAGCTCTCACCTCAGATGGGTAGCCCTTGGGATGACGGTGTCCATGGGAATGGGTTGCATTTTCAGTGACACAAATACCCATCACTTGCAGGTCCTTTTGGCCACTGGGGTCTAATAGGCATCTACAGTATCTCTCAGGTGCCTTATCAAGAGTTGTTTTTCAAAATACCTGAGTGTTAGTTTATCTGATGAACAATCTTTGCTGATTGGTAACCTCAGAGCTATCTGACATAGCATTAGGAGACAGGACCTAAATTGGGATCTGGGACAATTTATTTTATAATCACCAAATGTCTGCTGGCAGTTTCCACCAAGGTCCCATCATCATCTCAAACTCAACACATTCCCCTTAAACCACATCAATGTCAAGTTTCCTAATTCCCCCATCCAGGGCAATTCAGATTAAAATCTATGAGCCATCCAAATTCCCTCTGTACCATTGTGACTTTCCTTCGTATTGCTTCTTGTTTCTGTTCTTTCCTTTCCATTCCTGTTGGCATCCTTCTTGGAATTCCAGTTGGGCTGTGATGAGACAGTTGGAAAGTTGCATATAGACAAAAATTTTCAAAAGAAGATACCTCGCCTAACTCAATTTGAAATCAGCGTACCTGTAGCATCACAGAATTCTTTTTAAAATACTAGCTTGAGACCGGAAGTTGCCTTTTTCTTGGTTGTGAGCCTCTAGTTGTGAAATCCATGTGTAAGCTTCCAGCTGTGACTGCCAGGGCATTCACATGGCACAGGCTCCTCCTGTGGGTCTCCAGCCACGGGAGTCTGTAGAGAGTGGCTTCTACTTGGGATAGAATCACTGAGCTACCCTGGGTGCCAGTAAACAGAGGGATTTGTGGGAGGAAATCAATCACTTGAGCTGAATTCCCTGAATCCTTAATATATACAGAGCAGCCGCTAGATGCTGAAGGGATTACTAAAAAATATAAGCTTCCTTAATCTCAAAGAGACGGCCTAGTTAAATAGCAGAAAGAAAAGCTAGCAACACATGGAAACAAAGAGATTCCAGATCAGGACAGGCATGATGGCACACACCTATAATTCCAGCCACTGGGGAGGCTGAGGCAGGAGGATTGCAAGTTCATGGCCAGCCTCAGCACTTACCAAGACCCTGTCTAAAAAGAGAAAGAGAGAGAAATTTAGATCAGGCCAGGTGTGGTGGTTCATGCTTACAATTCAAGCTACTTGACGGGCTAAGGCTGGAGGATCACAAGTTTGAGGCCAACCTCAGCAATTTAGCAAAACCCTATCTCAACATTAAAAAAAAAGGGGGGGGGGTTAGGGATGTAACTCAGTGGTAAAGAGCCCCTGGGTTAAATTCCCAGTACAGGAAGGAAGGGAGGAAAGGAAAAGAAAAGAAAGAGAGAAAGAAAGAAATTCCAGATCAAGACATGTTTTATCTTCTTGTAAATAAACCCATCGCTGTCCAGCACTATGTTAGGTTCAGGATAAAGAGATACATTGTAGTTTCAGACCACTGGGGATTCATGACTTAAAAGGAAGACAGATAAGTAGCAATATCACCCACCAAGAATAATATTATTATGACAGAGGTAAACCAGGGATGCTTTGAGAACCTAAACTAAGATGGAAATAATATTTATAATTGTATCTAGAAATGATTGATCATGGCTGTGTGCCAGGCACTGCTATACAAATTATGTCATTTGCTTACATTTTATTTTTAGGTTTTCCCCTCCTTTCATCTTTACAGTGATTTTCTGGGCAGAAACTATTTCCAATTTTTGGATTAGGATGGTGAGTTTTGGAGAGGTTAGGTAGTGGTAACTAGTTAGTTCCCATGGTTTGTCAAAAAAAAAAAAAGGAACCAGGAGTTCAGCTCTGGTCTGCCCAATGCCAGTATTGGAGGACTACTGTGTCCACTGACTCTTCTTCTAGGAAGCTCAACCTGGGCAGAGCCAAAAGGATGGATAAGGATGAACCACGCAGAGCTAGGGGTGGATGGCGAGGAGGTTGCAGATATTGCAGGCATAGAGAACAGCAAGTGCTGGGCTTGGAAGAGAGAAGAAGAGGAAACACTTAGAATCCAGTATTTCTCTGAAATGTGTCAAGGAAGCCTTCTCAAGGGACATGAGTTTTGAGTCAGGCTTTGACAGGCAGCCCATAGAGCCCAGTGTTTGACATAAGAGAAAAGCAAGAAGGGAGTATGTGTTGGACTCTGGCATTGACCAGGCCAGGCTCTAGGTGAAACATGAAAGGGTACATGGCATTGGGGAAGCCCTTTATTTGTGGGTGCGGGAGGGGTGCGTCGAGGGCCACGGCAGACAAGCTTCAGCTGTGCCTCTAACCTGGTGTTTCCCCTTCAGCTTATGCGCAACTACAGCCACATCAGCTCCTCTCGCAGCCATCATCAAAGCACCTGCAGCCCCAGTTTGTGATCCAACAGCAGCCGCAGCCACAGCAGACCCAGCCGCCACGACCTGCACCCCAAGCCCAGTCCCAACCCCAGCTCACCTCAGTCCCTCCAAGCCTGGCCCTGCAGCCTGGCTCAGAAGCCCACACCATGCCCCTGGGCCCAGTTACACCCACCCTGCCACTCCAGTGTCCCACTGCCAATCTGCACAAGCCCAGCAGCAGTCAGCAGTGTCACCCTCCCACGCCAGACCCTGGGCCTCAGAATGGACATCCCGAGGGCATGTCCCACACCCCTCATCGCAGGTTCCAACACACCTCAGCTGTCATCTTACAACTACAGCCTGCTTCACCAGTGGTGAGTAAGCTGATCCTAGGGTGCGGAGCGACTGGGGAGGCCACAGCTCAGGCAATCCCACAGCCCCATTTGATGTGTTTTTGGGTAGGCTGAGTGTTGAAGTCATCTCTGGGTGTTCCAAGGAAGATGACTGAATCCTAAAGCCCTGCCGGCTGCCCCAAGCTCCACAGAAACGGGGGTAGTGTGTGAGAATGCAGAGGCAATTTATGAGAAGACCAATCTCTTTGTCCTGCCCCTAACAGCCCCAGCAGTGCTCCCCTGATGACTGGAAGGAAGTGGGACCTGGGGAGAAGAGTGTGCCTGAGACTCGGTCAGGTCCATCACCACACCAGCAAGCCATTGTCACTGCCATGCCTAGTGGCCTGCCTGTAGCCAAGAGCCCTAGCATCCAGCAGTCTCCAGCTCACGGTATGAAGCATAGTGGGGCCCTTGGAGGAGGGGAGAAAGTCGGTCTTCCTAGCCATCCCCTGGCACATTTCACCTGAGCATCTGGAACGTGAGGGTAAACTGTAAACCCAATGAGGCAATGAGAAAGCTAGGCAGTTAGAAACAAGAGGGAAATGAGAAGCTGCATCAGGGATGCAGACAGAGGACCCAGGAGATATAGAAGGAAATTGGTAGAGAAAGAAAAGGAGAGTTAAAGTTCTAGAGCCAGACTCTACAGCCTTCATTGTCACTGGTGTCAGATGTATGTGCAGATAGTCGCACCAAGTTGAGAGTTGAGGTAAGGCATCCTGTTGTTGATTGTCTGCTTCATTTAGTATGAGAAATTTTCAATTTCTTGAAATTGGAAATATGGCAAGATGGTTGCCATATCTCAAAGATAAGGGGATCTAGAAGGGATTCAGAAAGCACCTTTGAGGGAATTGTGCTCAGCCCTGGAGTCCCCACGTGTCTGAGAGTTACCGCCCAAGATTTAGGAGGCTGGATCCCTCCTCCCTGATGGGAGAGTCTCAGCAGGACCTCCGCCCTCTATAGAGATCCATTTGCTTCCCTTTCCCTCTCTGCCAGTTCGCACAGAAATCTTGGCCCACATCTCAGTGACATTTTGAGCCATGGGCCACCTGCAGCTCAAGGAGGCAGTTCAGTCACGATGCTAAGTGTGTGCTAGGAGTAGGGATGGGAGAAACCAGAGAAAAAGAATCTAGAAATTGAAAAAGGAGAAGGGAGGAGAAAAATACTTTGGAACAAGGTAGGGCTAAAAGTTTATAAGGACCTAAAAGGAATAGGGGATGAGATCAAGGAAATAGAAAGCAAAATAATATGGAGAAAAGATACTAGAAAAATTAAATATGGGAAGGAAATCATCCATTCTCATTGTACACTTGCAATGGTAAGAGGATCATCATTCTGGAAAGCAGCCTGGGGGTTTGGCTCACTGGTCCAGCACTTGCCTGGCATGCATGGGTCCTTGGGTCCCCTGGGTTCAATCCCCAGCACTGAAAAACCACACTCTCTCACACACACACACACTCAAAAAAAAAAAAAAAAAAGAAAAGCAGGCCCATTTTTTTCATTTATTTATTTATTTTTAATTTTTATTTTTTGTTTTAATGAGTTACACATGACAGTACAGGCCCATTTCTTTCTGGAATTGCTCTAATTATCAGAAAGTTGCTTTTCAAGTAAGCCAAAACCTGCCCTTCTGGAACTTGACCATCACTGATGATGATTCTGTCTTAAAAATTTTAACAAGAATCCATCTCACAGTATCATTGACAGTTGTTATGTCTCCACCATCTTCCTCTAACAGAGAGAGAGAGAGAGAGAGAGAGAGAGAGAGAGAGAGAGAAATTGAGGCCATGCATGGTGGCATGTAATTGCAGCAATCCGAGAGGCTGAGGCAGGAGGATCACAAGTTCAAGGCCAGCCTCAGCAACATAGAGAGGCTCTCAGTAACTTAGGGAGATGCTGTCTCAACATTTTAAAAAGAAGAGAGGGCTGGATGGAGCTCAGGGGCAAAGCACCACTGGGTTCTATCCTCAGTTCTAAAAAAAAAAAAAGAAGAAGAAGAAGAAGAAGAAGAGGACAACAATGACAAACCCCTCCAGGCTAAAGACCTGAGACTTTTTTCATTTTTCTCTATGACTTTTCAAAGCCTCCATTCCTACCATTCTAGTCTTGCTTATCGATCCATGTTCTTTTACTTGTTTTTCTAAAGTGTGACATCCAAAATTAAACACAGTACTTCCAAATTAAAAAGTCACTAATCCTTATAAGCCTTTTAAGAGACAGGACTATTTCCTAGATCCACATGAAAAGGTAGGAAAGAACTAAAATTTGCTGAGCACCTACTATGTGCTGGATACTCTTCTGTCCTTTACTCACTCATGATACCCCTGAGATAATTATTATTATCCCCATGATTCACAGGGGAAAAACAAAAGCCTAAAGGAACTACAGATCACACAACTGTGAAAAGGCATCAATCTGGCCCTGGCTCCTAGTGTAGTAATTCCCTCACCTTCCTTCATCGATGTACTGTGGCCCCATATTAACTCCTCCCACTCATGGGAATGGTGCTGTTGGTTCACAGAGTACTATGTCAACTGAATTTCAGAGGGTTGGATTTAGTTTTGGTTTTATTTCAGAGGGTTTTTGTTTTGTTTTGTTTTTTCCCCATGAATTTGCTATCTTGCCTGGTCTCTCCTCAATCTCAAACTTTCACAATTTATATTTTGAACCAAAATATGATTAATTTTATCTTCTAAATGTTACCTTGTGAATTTAGCCCATAATTCCATCCTAACAATAATTAGTGATAGTTAATACCTAACACTTATTAAACTCTTTCTAAAAGGCTTTACATACATTTCCTCATTTGATCCTGACAATAACCCTCTGAATAGGAACTATCATTTATCCCTATTTTAAAAGTGAGAAAACCACGGTACAGAAAGAATAAAATGTGGGAAAGGAATTTTTTATATATGAACCCTTTTTATTCATTATGCTATCTTTTCCACTTAGCTTTGCCACCTGTAATTATACAGTACGATTTCCTAGTCTTTTACCAATTTGCTGATAGGAATGTTGTATAGGACCTACTGAGCTACATACCCTGTCTCCAGGCTGTTGCTAATCAACATTCTTTGTTCAAGGACTTTTTATCCTACATCCCCTAAGTGAACTGACATTTGCCTACCTTCTTTCATTTTGTCCACAAAGCTCTCAAAATTATCTTTCTGCAGAGCACAGTGGTGTATGCCTGTAATCCCAGTGGCTCAGGAAACCGAGGCAGGAAGATCACGAGTTCAAAGCCAGTCTCAGCAAAAGCAAGGTGCTAAGCAACTGAGTGAGACCCTGTATCTAAATAAAATACAAAAGCGGGGGTGGTGCTGGGGATGTGGCTCAGTGGTTATGATCAACCCATAAAAAGCATCCTGTTCTTGAGGTCTTATCTTATGAAAGAAGTAAGCCTTGCATAGTGGAAACAATTGCCAAGCAAGCCTGCCTTAAATATCCATGCATTCGTGTATGTGTGAATGCCTGCGCTGTTGGTTGGGAGGCAATACACAGACTGTCCCAACCTTCAAGGAGTTTAACATCTGCAGGGAAAGATGTAAGGTACACAGGAAGAAAATTACAGTAAAAGCTAAGGTGCCATGTTAAATGCCATAGAAGAATCTTAGGTAAGTGCTTTACAAGTGGCAAGGAAGGAAATAAATCCTGCCAGGTAGAGATTACAAGGATGAATTCCAGGGAGGAAGTGGCATTGTGCTAGATCAGGGATTGGCAACTACAGCCCCAGGGCCACATCCATCATAACCCTAGTATTAACAGTTTGCAAGCTAATAATGATTTTAACAATCAAGAGAATATTATTTTGTGATAACAGGAAAACTCTATGAGATTCAAATTTCAGTGTTCATAGCGAAGTTCTGTGGCATCTCTCATACCCCAATGACAGGGTGGATAGCTGGGCAGAGACCATGTGGCCTGTAAATTCCAAGATATCTCCTCTCTCTTCCCTTACAGAAAAAGTTGGTCACTGCATTTCTTGAGTCTGGAATATAGAAAGTTGAGGAAAGAGCATTCCCAGAAGGACCAGTGGAAGTTAAAGGGGTGGGGTCAGAAAGTATGGGTATGTTTGGGGAATAGAGAGAAGCTGAGTATTCAATCCCTCATTACCTCAGTTTGTAAAGCAAAATATAATATGTAAGAAATGCAGAGACACCGGGGTAAGGAAATGTGAATATTAATAAAAAAGAGACTTGAAAAATAGTAAAGTGGAAAGAAAAGGAATGATGGGAAATGGAGAGAAGTAAAATTCAGAGAATGCAAAATAAATATAAAACATGGAAACAAACAAAAGGTATAAGGCCAGAGGGTTAAAAGAGACAGAATGATAGAGAATGAATAGGAATACCAAGAAAGGCAAGATGGGGGAATATTGGGAATAGACAGAAATTCGCTGTGGTTTATCCCCAGCTCCTGGGGTGAGAATTGTGTCATGTTGTACATCGTTCGAACCCCACAGCTCTTAGCATGTTTTCTGACTGAGGGTATTTCTCTAGACTGTTCAGGTTTAACTAGTGTGTTCTGGGAAGAAAACTAACATTTATTGGGCTCCCACTGTGCGTCAGGCGCTGCAAGCAATTTGTAAATCAGTTAACCCTCACATTAAACCTAACGGGTAGGGATTACGCCCTTTATGGAGGTATGACTGGGTCACTTTAGTCATTACTTCCCCTCTCTGATCTTCGGTTCCCAGTGGGGAGGATAATGACCACTTGGAGGGTTATTGTGAGCACAGGACAGAGGGCGCGTTCACTTAGGCCCTGACACATACTCAGCCCTCAATTACTAGTGGTCGTTATTACGATGCTTGCCTCCCAGGCCCCACAGACAGTGAACCGTCAAGGCGGGAGTCACAGGCCACTCCGCCCCGGGGCACTTCTGCGGAGGACAGGGGCAACAGTGCTAGGGCGCGCCACTCGCCTCCCGAGACCCAGACCCGCTAGCCCGGCCGCGTTGCCCCGCGGGCCCCGCCGTCCCCGCCGGCCGCGCCTTCCGGAGGGCGCGGGCGGGGCTCGGGTGCACAAAGGAAGCGCGCGGCCCGGGCCCACGGCCCCGCCCCGCGCCCGTCCCGTCCCGCCCCGCCCCGCGCGCGGGCCCCGCCTCGCCCTAGCCCCGCCCCCGGCGGAGGCGGCCGCGGGAGCCGTCCCGGACGCGCCGCATTGTCTCCGCGGCGCTGCAGCCCTCGAGCGCCCGCCGCGCGCGCGCAACCCCAGCCGCCATCCGCGCCCCCGCCCGGGCCAGCGCCCCCGCCGCCCTTTGTTGAGGCCGGCAGGGCCGGTGCGGTCGGATGCGCCGCGGCAGCCCCGGGCCCCGGCTCGGAGGCTCCCGGCGGAGAGGAGGCGGCCCTCCCGGGCCCGGGACCCCGCGCGCGGCGGCGCCGGGCCGAG